CAGGTAACCGAAAACCCCAGATTTAAAGTGCTATCTTTTAAGTACAGCTCCGAAGTGCGGCAAAACGGGATGCCCATGGAAGAGGGACATTTCCCAGATATTTGTGTCTGGACATTACCTTTAGATCCGTGAGGCAATCGTGCCTTGCACGGATCTAAAGAGCCGTCTGATCGGACTCCTACAGTGCAGAAGTTTCACCTTTCTTGGTCCACTGAAGTCTACAAATTTATAAGGATACAGCTCACCTTAGGACTGCACCATTGCACCTGGTTTTCTGCTGGGGCTTTGGACTAATGTGTTAATCTTTGCAATCATAGCTTCAAGTTTAAATGAGAATTTCCAAAGTCAGAGATGCTTATCTTACTTGGGATGAGCACAAACAACCGCCCCCCCGGGCAACAGGAACTTATATTAGAAAGCAAGAATATTCAGAGTATCTAAGGGGTGGGGATCTGTCTGACAGGGAGGGTCAGGTTGTCAGACTCCTTATTGTGTGCAGGGGCGGATTAAGGCTCACGGGTGCCCTCAGCACTGACCAATCTTGGTGGCCCCCTCCTTTCCACACTGACCCAGTCCATTTTAGCTGTTGACCTGTCTGACCAGATATACAATGCAGGTTGCAGCAATACAAAAATGTATTCCTATGATAACACAATAGACTGTACAAACTAAGCCAAGCTTTTTACAAATCTTCATTCGTTTTTTTTCTTTTCACCCTTTCCCCAACTTTGTGGTGCCCCCTTTGGCCCTGGTGCCCTAAGCATGTGCTTAGTCTGCTTCATGGTTAATCCGTCCCTGATTGTGTGGCTGCTGTGAAGAATTAGTCATCCTCTGTATCCTGGAGGATAAGAGGTTAAATCTGTACACGGGGAGAGAGAGAAAAATTCAAGGAAGGGTTTCCAAATCTCAAAAAGGATTCTCAGCACCCAGGTGGCCTTTTGAATGTATTTAACTCATATCATTCTTAAGGAGTTACTGCTGGAAAGAAATGAGAGAAGTAGGGAAGAAAAGAAAACACACAAAAAGTGATTAACACATGGAATTCACTGCCACAGGAAGTGGTGGTGGCTACAAGCATGGACGGCTTCAAAAGGGAGTTAGATAAGCATATGGAGCAGAGGTCCATCAGTGGCTATTAGCCACAAGGTATAGATAGGGACTCTGGGGCAAGTGATGCTCTGTCTTCTTGGTGCTTGGGGGGGGGGGTCAACAGTGGAAGGACTTCTAATGTCCTGGCCCCACTGGTGGACCTCCTGATGGCACTGGTATTTCTGGCCACTGTGTGACACAGAGTGTTGGACTGGATGGGCCTTTGACCTGCTCCAACATTGGCGTCTCTTATGTTCTTATGTCCTCAAGGATATGGAAACCAGGCTCATACTCTCAACCCTGCCTCTCTTCCCACCCCCTTTATAGCAAGCATTGCCAATTTGTTCCTTGCTTTGTGCCTTTAATGGCAGTTTTGCATGCTGACATAACCAGGTGGTAACTATTCATGCACTGAAAGGCTACAGTGGCCTTATCTGAGTCAGCTCTGTCTACTCAGGCGGGTGTGGCTCTCCAGGGTCTCAGGCAGGCAGCCTTTTAACTAGAGATACCAGGGATTGAAACTGGGGTCCCTCTGCTATGTATGTTTTGGTCATTGCCCCTCCCCTAAGGGATATCCCCAGACTCATCACAGGGAAGCCACGGACTTTGAAAACTTACATTAAAAAAGACAAATGTATATAGATTTACCCGCTTTGAAAAGCACAATAGCAAGTCAGCTCATTTCCCCATCTGGTCAACGGGCAATCATATTTGTAGCACTGGGGTTGAGACATGCAACTTTAGAAGCAATTAGCAGCAACTGCACTTGAAAGAGGTTTCAAAGTTCCATTATTATCTCCATTCAAATAAATGGACTAAATAAAAATAAATAAATAGGCAAAGGCTGTGCCTCTTTGTTGCTCAATGGTCTTATCAACAGCTTTTAATACTGTGGACCATGCCACCTTGGTGAGGGATTAAGGGTTTACATTGGTTTAAATCATGCCTTATGGACAGGGTTGTTGCTGGAAACCAGGTGTCACCTGCGTGGGACTTTTCCTGTGGGCTCAGGACTATCCTCCATGCTATTTAACCTCTATATAAAGCCTGGAAGTGAAATCATTTGTGGTTTTCCAGTAGGTAGTCATCTACATGCTGATAATACCCAACTCTATATTTCTTTATCCAAATCACCTGGTAATGCTATAGAGGTCCTAAGTGACTCCTTGACTGTTACAGTTAAACTGCTAAAGATGAACAAGTTGAAACCGAATGCTGACAAGACAGGTGATGCTGGCAGGGAAAGCTGAGGTCTTTGAGGACATTGTCCTCCCCACATTTAATGGGGTCCAACTGACCCCATTAAACTCAGTTACAAGCCTCCTATTATGACTGGAAAACCACGTTAATGTAGCTGGGAAGAGAGAGAAAGAGATCTAGCTTTCTACTATCTTTATTTAGCCCAGAAAACAGCTCCCTACCTTGATTTGGCCTATCTGGCCACCTGGATCCATGCTGCAGCAACCTTGAGATTAAACTTTTGTAATACCCTTAAAGTCAGTTTGGGAACTCCAGTGGGTACAGAATGCTGCAACTTGGTTACTATCAGAAGCTAGGTTGCAAAAGCGGTTTATATAGCGAGGATATGATCTATGGACATATCCGAGTATTGATCTGCCCAGTGAGACTGTGATTAGATTCTCCGGAGAATATGATGACCACAAACGTTAATGTTTAAAGGGAAACAATAGAAAAACGAACCTAATCTTAAAAATTGGATTATCATCAATGCTACAATAACATTGGACAATGGGAGTAGAAGACTAAGTAGAGGAAGATTGTAATGAAGGAAGAGAAAACAAGATAGAAATCACATTTACTGAAGAGGACTTGACTTTAATATGGGGGGATTTTTTATTTCCCCAAATAAAGCTTTTTTGGGGAGGGGATTGAGATTGTTAATATGAGATGCTGATGTTTTCCGTTGTTTGCTAAAGCGGTTTAATAATTGAGCTTTTGTATTACTCTTTGTATAGTCGGATTTGCTGGATTGGACACCATAAGCGAAAGATTTGAGGATCACTTTCAATGCTTACAAATTGTGTTTGTTAAAAAAAGTCAAAGCTAATTTGTTTAAGCATTGTATAACCTCCATCTCTTAGGTTTTTAGTAGGTTTCTTTACTTTCATCCATAGTTTGTAGATACCTTCCCTTGTTTCTTTGTAGTTTATTGAAAATGCAATTAAAAAACCCCCTATGGGGGGCTTAAAAAGAAGAAGAAGAAGCTAGGTTGCAGCATGCACATCAAGCCCACTCTGCAATCACTTCATTGGTTACTAATCAACTACTGGGTTCAATTCAAGGTATTTTATTTAACTTCATTTATAGCCTACCTTTCTCAATGAGACTCCAGGCAGATCCTGGTCATCACCTACAAAGGCCTTTATGACTTGGATTCCCATACCTGCAGAACAGCCTCTCCGGCTATGCTCCCCTCTGTAAGCTTTGCTCGTCTAAGTAAAACCTTCTGAGGGTGCCGCGCTGCAAATGTTAAGAACAGCAACTGTGTGTGCCTGTGTATTCTCTGCTGTGGCTCCCACCGTGTGGAACAGCCTGCCTAAAGAGATCAGGAAGGCCCCTACACTTATGTCATTTCACAGAATGCACAAAACAAATGTTTATGAGATCATCATTTTTACAAATGGATTAGAAGTGTAGTACCCTGGACCAGCTGAAGAGCCTTTTTTAAAATAACAGGACCGTATACTGCAATATTTACTGTTTGTATTATTTTTTATAATCTGCCTTGAGTCTCCGTGAAAAAGGGACGTGCATGTTAAAATAAAATAAGTAAATAAATTTGCCACTTAGGGGGGGAAACCCCAGAGTGACTCACAAACGCTGGCTGTTGCCTCAGGTTCCCTTGTGAGCGACACCATTTTCTGCCAGCTTCTCATTTCTTGTCCCTAAGGCACACAGACAATCTCTCTCAAGAGCCAGAGGAAACTTTAGCGTCACTTTCAAGATGCAGTAGGCCCGCACTGCTGACGTAACCCCGTCTCCCAGCCACACCCATTGGAAACAAAACAGGCTAGCCAGGCTAAGCGTTAGCATGCATCTCCGTGCATCTAAGTCTGGGGACACGCAGAAACAGACAAACCACACCAGTACCACCTCTGCTTTATCTATGGAAAGACAGACATGTGACGAGCAATGCTCCCTCTAAGCTGTGGAGCCCTGTGAGCAACAATTCTACTTTGTGAGCAACCAGCATTCAAGTTGTGAGCAGGTGATTTGACGACTGCATAAATTAGTCTGCTCTGGAGCCCTCCTTCCTGAGTTAAGGCAAAAATGTGTGAGCTGGAAGCTAAAAACTGTGAGCTAGCTCACACTAACTCAGCTTAGAGGGAACACTGATGAGGAGTAGGCTAGAACTCACCAGGGGATACCATCACGATTTCATTTGCACCACAGCTCAGCCCTAGAACTTATGCTTAATACCTGGCCTAGAGGAAATGATAAGAGTACCCTTGAACATAAGCAGAGCGCTCCTCTCTTGCCTCAGAGTGTATCTGTACTCCAGCATAGAGCAGGGGGGGGGGAGTCCCAGGCCCCGGGATCTCTCTGCACTCCAAACTGCTCCGCGGTGGAGGTGGAAAGCACCAACAATTCACAGCTCACCTAGCTACCCTTAGTCCTGGGTGGCCTCCCAGTCCCACCCAAGCGCTAACCAGGGGGGGCAGCCCTGTTCCGCTGCTGAGATCTGACGACGGGCCGCGCAAGTGACGCCGCCGCCGCGAGTTAATGAAGCACCAAGAGGCACCAACTCGGCGACAGCCACCAAGCAGGACGGGGCCAGGAGCTGCGGACAGTTGTTGTCACCAGGGCAACCCCGAGACGAAACTTTCGTGAAGAGGCACGGAAGGGTTAAAGACCCAGATCAGGACCTCCGAGAGCGGGCGCTCGCTCACCTGCGCGGCAGGACCACCTGGGGGGCACGAGGGACCCTCGCCGAGTGACACCTCAGAGCCTTCGGGGCGGCCTCGCGACCCCGGATGCCTTTTCCCTGCTTCTGGCTGCGACAGAAGCCGCCTTTCTCTCTCTCTCGAGCCTTTCCTCGCTCCTACCCCTGCCGACTCTCCTCCTCTCCTCCTCGCCAGCTGCCCCAGCCAATGCGATGTTTGCCTGGCGGGCGCACGCCACGACTCCGCCTGAGAAGTTGACACTCCTGCTTGCTTCCACCTTCCAGACTGAGGGCTGGGACGACGCGAGGGAG